TATATGTGTATATATGTATATATGTACACAAATAGTGTAATTAATTTACATATATCCTAATTTAAATATTATTTTTAAAAATAAATATTAATTTTGAATTTTATTAAGTTCAAACTAAATGTAATATTATTAATAGATATTTATTAAGTTTTAATATTTTAATACAAATTTTAATATTATAATTATAAATTACTATAATTAACAAATTAAGGATAATATGTAATTTATCATTGATTAATTGATAAAATATTTATATATTCAGTATTTAAACTAAGAATTTAAATAAACAAACATAATGAAATTGAAAAAAATTTTTTAAGCAATTTCTGGTAGATTATAAATAATTTAAAGCTATAATTTTATTATATTAATTTTATATACACATAATTATTAAAATAATTCTAAAAATGTTAAAATTGCGAAACTTGTGGTAAACAAACTTGTAGTAAAGAAAATTTATCTCTAAATATGTAGGATAATATGCAAAATGTTACAAATGTTACATCAATCTTCTATTCTACGTTTAAAATTGTGTAATATTTATCATAATGTATACACGTAAAAATTACTGTTTAATATACGCTACAAAGATTTCCCTTTGCAAATACAGAGAAAAATAAAGCGTACAGAATGAAAATTATGTATTGCGTACATGCCGGAAATATCTCGTTGCATTATTTTATATCGCGTTAAACTTTCCCGCGCGTCGTTGTTGCGAATTAACGTCAGTTTCATTTTTAACGATGAGCCTGGCATTTTCGAGCGGCTTAAATGTGGTGTCAGGCAGTCACGCTGTTTGAATGATCGGTGATCCAGCTAAGCCTCGTTTAAATTTTAAGTGAAAAAGACTAGAGGGAATGGGCATCGATCGTTCGTGGCAGCTTACGAGCTCGCGCCTCTGTTTTTATCGTGTCTGTTATATACAGAATATATAGAATACTCCCAAGTATGATTTTTTTCTCCGATGAAAATACGACAAAACAAAGTAAGAAGGATGTTTGTTTTGCTAAGAAAAAAAGATTAAGATTTTTCTATTAAGATAAAATAAAATTATTAAAAAGTCTTAAAGATGATTAACTTCTATTTAATATTATCATTAAAAAGAAGATTGCTAAAGAAAATTATTTGAAATTTTTATACTTGTTTAGCATATGAATGAATCTAAATTGCTAATTAAACTTGATATCATGTTTAGTCAATAATAAAGCAATGTAAATAGTACTAAGTTATTTACAACTTATAACTTAGCAAACTTGCTTTAGTGTCATATTTAATATTTAATATATTGGATTAATATTTAGCTATTTATTAAATTCATTTTCATTTTTATCTTTTTCTTTATATTTAATATAAACACTAATTTTATTATAAATTATGCGTCATTTATATTTCACAGAGCACAAAGCTAAAATTAATTGGAATTTTTAATATATAATAATTATTATCTTGTGTTTTCATAAAATAGAAAATTTGAACAATATTTCATTAAGAAGAAATTTTCCTTATTATAGAAAGTTCCATATTATCGTTATCAGTCATTTTCTTCTTCCGTTATCAAATATTCGACATCGTTTTCTCGAAGTTTCCTTTCGATGGGCAAAAAAAAAAGGAAAAACGAAGAAGCTGAAAGACACGTGAAAAGAGCGGAACATGTCGGGAAGTTCTATTTCCGGTCGACGGGGCCTGTATCGGGCCTGACGCGAGAACGCGAAATGGCCGACTTAAGGAAGTTTTACTGCGAGACAAACCGGAAGTGATTCGGCTATCCCGAGGGAAACTTTCTTTTCTTCCTGCGGGCTTTTTCGTCGGATTACGACCGCCGACGAACATCCATTCTCGTTTAACGCTTTTATTTACCGTTTGCGGCTGTCTCTCCAACTTCCTCCCGCGCTTATCGGAATTTTCTTCAGCCGCGCTTTTTGCTATTGCTCTATTTTTTTCACTGTCCTCCCGAAACGCTCGTGATAATAGTCAATGAATATCCATTGCGCCGAAAAAATTCGAATCATTTCTTTCTAATTATCGTGCAATGTTAAGATCTATTTAGACTAGACAATACGCAGGAATATATCTTATCTCTAATAGATTTAGGAGGGAAGTACTTAAAAAATGGATATAGAATTGAAAAATAAAACAGAAAGAAAGAGAGTACAAATATGTATTTAAAGATGATTAATGAAATATTTTCTTAGATCTAATCTATATATTATTTGATTTAGATATATTTAAACAATATCTATCTCTTAATATTTAAATTTAAAAACAATATTTTAGTTATACAATTTCTGCATTAACGTCTTTTCTAAAGCCTTTAATTGCTTTGACTAGTGTAGTTTTAGCAATCTGGATATCTCGCTTTGTCACGGAAATTCGACTACATCTCGGTGCAGTAGGCAACCATTAGCATTGAAGTGAAAAAGGCCCGAGGCGACCGTTAGGCACGTCGAATGATGCCGGAGGCAGGCATTTTTTCCAGTCCAAGTGTGCCATTTTTTGCGTCTGTTCTGTCCTCTATTGCACGGGGTGTTCTTTCTATCACTCTTTGTTTTTCTTCTTTTTTTTTTGGAGCTCGCCAGTGTCCCTCGGAAAAATCTATAAATCTAGCGCGCGGGCTCGCGAACGTCAGGACCATTCGTCAGCGGGCAGATTGGTGGGAGAGAATGGATTCGTGGAGGGTTGGGGAAGAGGTACATACGTGGCCGAACCCGTGTCAGGTGAACACTGCAGCTTCGTCCCACATGCAATAAAGCCGCGACGATTTTACGAGCGAGGCGAGCCGGATGACGAGGTAATTTACCTACCCGCTGGGAGAGGGATGAAGGGACGACGGGAATGAATCCATACCGTGACTCGCTACAAGGCGCTTCGATCGTTTCGATAAAGGTCGATGCTTTTTACCCGACACCTCAAGAGTGATGTCACGTGATTTTCGTACCTCCGCGGAATCTTCAATCTTCATTCTAGAACCTCGGTGTCGACCTAACGTGAGAATCGCATCTAACGTAGACGCACACATAAAATGAGAGCTGCATTTCACGTTCGGCTTTAAAACTCAACGTGTACACGTTTAATGTGTGTTTTTGCAAAAATCTGGGAATTTAAGCGCGACTCGAATTGAATGTCCTCAGATTGGTTTCCTCTCCAACGCGACAGAATGAAGCGGCCAGCAGCAGCAGTGGTTCGATCCAACATGGGGCGACGTTCGCGGTTCGGGTTGGTACGATGGACGGAGTAGTTACGCATCATTTACGAGCTGAAACACGAAGAGATTTGGCGGCCTGGGCACGAGCGATCGTTCAGGGTTGTCACGCAGCTGCTCACTCCTTGCGGGAATACGTTGTTCGTAAGTAACCTTTATATGTTAATTACACTTGATTCTTCTTGAAAAAAATGATTTAAATTTTGGGCATTTTAAACTATTTTAAATATTTAATAATTTATCTTAAGAAATTGTAGAATTTTTGATAAAAATAATATTGATATAGATATTAAAAATTATGCAGTCGAAGAAGAAGAGAAATGTGCAATATGGAATACTTGAGGAAATAGTGAACCCGGGTTCTTTCTACGTAGGACATACACCAGCGAATGATAGTCGACATCTACACTCTCGTCATTCTCCGCGCTCGGTTCGATGAATTTTAATTTCTTTTCAGCGACGACGAACGGCAATAATAAATCGAGATGAATGCCTCGCCCGTTTCATACGCGTCTTTTTGTTCGCGTCCCGCGTTCGAACTCATCGATGATAAAGAACCGTTGGATACCGATGCGGCAGAAACGCGCAATGAGAAGATATATACAGGCTGCTTCATAAACTAATATGAAATTTAATTGAAAATTAAATTAATTATAATTAATTAATTAATTATATAATTATAATTCAAAGGAAATAAAGAAATTCAACAATTTTTATTGATTTCTATGTCTTTTTGATATAACCAAATTTATGAAATTATGATATATAGCTACATTTATAGCTACATTTTATCAGTCATTTAAATAAATTTTTAAATGAAATATTAATTTAATTAAAACACCTGTTTATAAAGATAAAATTTGGACAATTTACACACACACACATACAATTTTATAAAATTTTAATTAATTTTATTAAAATTTATATTAATAAAATTTGTGTGAATTATATTTAATTAAATGTAGAATTGGTTAAATAAAATAAGCAGGAGGAGATTTTTATTTTTTTTTTTAATTTTGTGATATTTCGTATGTTATAGGTTGCACATGGCAAGGTAAGGCCTGTCAATTGGTTGTCAACCACGAAGAAGGTTTCGCGCTTTACTCCGCAGGAACGCGGGGCACTGCTGGGAACGGCGTAAGTCCTGGATCACCACCCACGCCACTCTGGAGAAGATCCTTCGACAAATTGAAAATGTCCGCGGACGACGGCGCCCGTCTTCTATGGCTCGATTTTGGAGGTGAAGATGGCGAAATTGTGAGTACTTGATAGTGACATACGGATCTCAGAACACGAAAATCAAACGATTGAAGAATTTAATGTCTTGAGAATAAGTCTAAATATCATAAATTTGAGAATGAGAATTTGTGAATGAAGGAAAGTTTTCGATTCTTAAATTTTTCCATTTATTCCAATCCACGTTATTTAATAAAATATTTTAAGGTAAAAGTACGGTTTCTACATGCACCTAGCCTATAGCCTTTTCAGTAATGAAAAACAATTAATTGTTTTTAGAAAGCTGGTTTTTATTCTTACTAAATTTAGATTAATTAGTTAAAAGTTTATTTTTCTTAAAAACCAAGAAGCTTAAGTATACTACTTGTTTTTGTCAGTAAGTAAGAAATATCGATTAATCCTATTATAGGAGCTTGATTTGGAGAGCTGTCCGAAACCAATCGTGTTCGTCCTGCACAATTTTCTTTCGGCGAAGATTCATCGGCTCGGACTGAGTGCATAGGGGCACGAGGGGGCCCTTACAGAGGCCCCCGATTTGCCCCCTCACACGACCAGGTCTGTTACCAGCGTCTTTCTTCATTGAGCTAGAAAGAATCGTAGTGCGAAAGAGAAAATTGACTTTCTCTCTTCGAGAATTCGAAGTAACAAGTAACAGTAACGAGACTTGATGAGCCATGTAACATCCTAATGGATAAGAAATGTAAGGACTATCTTTTTGTCAAAACGTTTCGCATCACGTGCAGCATCCTATTCCTTCTTTTTAAAGCTGTGGAATGTGCAGAAAGATTCGAAGTGAAACAGAGTAGTAGTATAACAATTTAGGAATGAGTGAGAGTAGGATAATGAATTCGGAAAAGATAACGACCGAGAATTCTATAATTGAAAAGTTATAAATTTGAAATCGACAAAGTTTCAATTTTTTAAATATTTTATATTTTTCAGAAATCTGATAATTTATAATTCTAAATATTGAATACTTAAAAACAAATTTTGGATATTTTAGATTCACATGTGCACATCTGTAATGTTAAAATTTAAGATTTTTGAAGATAGTTTTAACAATTTCACCAATTAAAATTTTAGAATCTTTAAGAATAGATTATATTTGATTATTAATCTGAATCGCGCGCGCGTGTGTGTATGTGTGTGTATTGCTTTAGTATTTAATATGTTAAGGACTTTTTTTAAGGATGTCCGAAATCAAAATTCAGTATATAAGATCCTAAAAGTGTAAAAAAACGGCCTAGCTTTTTTAACAAATATCCAAAAAATCGAAATTGCACACATCGTAGAATTCTCGGACTCGGTCCAAGGATCCCAGTATCTCGTCAGAGATTTATTAAGCAAGGTGAACAAAAGACTGTACATGTATAAGTTTGACAGTCCATGTTTGAGGATCTTGTATCTACAAGCTCGATTGCGATGAATCGACTCGGTCGTTAAAAATCGAGCAACAGTCACTTTTCTCCTTTTTATTTTCAACGATAATCGATACGAAGCCATCCACGAGACGATATATCGAAGAAAGTACGATACATGACAAGGACGGAGAGGCGGAGAGGTGAAGAGAAACCACCCACGCCGCTGATCAACGCGCCTAAGTATCTAATTTAATTAACTATTTATCTAATCCTAAGTAAGACTAATCGCAAAGAACTGACTCGACAGATTATCGATAAATATTCATTAACCCAGTGTCGGATGTTGAATTGCGATGATTGTAACGAGCATGGAAATCAGATAAACGCGATTGTTTAAATGACGACTATGATCTGTTGATGCATTCCTTTTAAATGTAACTCAAATAATTTGAATTTCGTGGAGTGACGGCACAATTGTAAAATTATATCTCGATGTTGGATAAAAAAATATTTCTATTTGCCGAGAGAAAACATTTTATTAAATTAAATTGTTGTTAAATTAAATTAAATTAAACTAAATCGTATTGAACTTGAAATTAAGCTAAATTAAAGTAAATACATTTTTTCAATATTAGATTACATTTAAATTTTTTAATAACATTTACAAAACAGATATTTTGGTGGTAAAGAATAATACAGGGGTTGTACTCTAATTTTATTCATTATTAAATATATTAATTTAATTTTTAATTTAATTAAGCTAAACCTCATTAATTAATTAAATTATAATGGTTTAATAAGTAATTTTAAATATTATTTTGTTAATTTATATTTCATGTATATTAATTTTTTTATTAACACTTTATTCAAATAATATACTGGCAAAATCTTTTATTACGTGATAAATTATAAACGTGTGGAAATTTTATATTTAGTTAATATTCATATGAATATCCGCCTTTTGGATAAATTAATTTTTAGCTAATTCTAATTGTCCTTATATACCTCATTCGTTTACAACATTATTTCTTAACTATTTTAGTAAAATAAAACATTCTACAAAACATTCTGCATAGAAACTAAGAGTTACTCTTCGTCGTTTAAACATTGTGACAATCCTGATCACACGCATAATTGAGACGCTTAGACGAAGCGTGTAACGTACTCGTTACGAAAATAGGAGCTAATCATAATAAAGTCTATGTTTTCATTGTACATCTAGCATTATACATGGCCAGCTAGTCTCAAAAAATCCAATTCTCATTCAGATATCATGCATTTGACGTAAACATAGATACCAATATTTAAGATTATGTGGTATTATATTATGGCAGAATGTTGAAACACTACATTTATGATAGAACTTATTGTAGGATATTGTAATATTGAAAATTAATAGTGTGTCCCTGTGACATTTAACGCCACATTTCCGTCAATGTAATATGAAATTGGGACTTTAGCATTGTGCGCGATGAAAACATAGTCGTTATTAATAAACTATGAGCCGCTCATTGGTCTTCGACCTTCCACTTCCCTCGAAAATTTGCAAAACACGCATTCGTTTAAACTTACGTAAATAATATACGGTGAAAAAATAATACAAATAAATTTGTTTACTATTCTGTGCATAAACAAGCTTTATTAAAATATATTAATGCGGGAAATAAAAAGAAAAGGAGGTTGATATTGAATTGTAGCAAATTATGATGAATACATCTAATTTATCTGATTTTTAAATATAATTTATAATATAAATTATACTTGAAAAATTTGGTGATGATTATAGAAAGGGGAGGGCTTTGCAGAAACGAGCTAGCTTTTCTCTCAATTGGCCAAGTTCCATATAACAAAGGAGAAAATTACATTTTACATGCTTTAATTTTATACAAGGATTTTTTCGGATCAGCTTCATTTTCGTTTTTCCGAAAAATTCACGTGCGTCGCATGATACTAAAGTCCACGGAGTTGGGAACACCTGGAAAGGATTTAAAGAGTTTACTCCCTTGATCTTCCAGCGAGAACTTTCCGCGAGATAACGTGTTTCGTTTCGGTAAGACGATATTTATGTCACTCCCCCCTCCTGCCCACAGTCAAAGCGCCTCGAGTGAGTTCACGGAAGTTGAAATATCCTGCGCGTTTCTCGGCCAAAATACCTTCTCGGAATTGTACTCGAGAACGGTGAGGCGATCGCCATCGATCTCAGCCAGACAAAATGGAAATATCCTCTCGGCGGCCGTTTCGTGGCGTGGCGAGATGAAAATCGAGATTGACTTATATTTAGAATTCTCCTATATTTACCTATCAGTAAATGATATTAAAAGAGAATATCAACGTTTCCTAATTTTTGAGAATTTGATAGCTTTAACATTTGCGAAGCTCTTGTTTATCGAAATGTTATCTTTTTGTAAAATAAAAATTGAGTTTTTTTTGTTTTATAATAAAGCGAAAACATAAAAATAGTTTCAGAGAAATATCATTTATTAAAAATAAATGAATAATTTTTTTAAAAAACTATGAGAAATTACGAGAAGTATGTTGCATAGAATCGAGAAAATAAAGTATGTCAATTTTAGACAAATAATGATTTATTGCATTATTGTAATATTACTGAATGTGACAATTTTTTTTAACATTTTGATTTTAGAAATGTTTTGTGTCAAATTAAGAAATGATTTCTTGATTTCAAATTTGACACAAAACATTTCAAGTATCTTGCATTTTTAACATACACTAATCGAAAAATTATTCTTGAGCGAAACCCGTATCGTAGATGTCAAAATTGTCGTGTTTCGAGTCACTTTAGCATTATTCATGATTTAAGTAAAACTCTAAAAAAAAACGTGTGAAATAGAAGGTCCTTTGATAATTCAATGGGCGGCTATTCTAGCTGTTTTGTACGATTCGTATTCTTTAACGCAAGTAAATTTAAGGTAGCAAAATGCGTCGATGTGTGCAGCCTGATTTTTTTGTTTCTCAAAAGTAATAGCATATCTGAATGACTGTTCATATCATTGCTCAGAAAATAAAAACTTTAAAAAGTAATAAAATTAAGAAAAAAGAAAGATACACACAAGTTACGAGTTTCCAAAGATCCAGGATTTTACTTAAAAAAGAGAAAAATAAAGGACCTAATAATCAAAGAAACTAGAATCATAATTTTTTAGAATCTGGAAACTCTTTTATAAATTTTACAATCTGTTTAAATAAATTAATATTTAAATATTAAAATTTTTAATTTTTTAATAAATTTTAAAATAATTTGCAAGGATCTGATGTATTGGACAATCTAGAAGTCTAAAGACCCAGCAACTATGCTCTATAAATGAAATAAAATTTCAGAATATATATAAATTAAAAAAGCACAAGAATTTATAAATTTTATTCCTTGAAAATATGAAAATTCTAGTCTAATATCCCTGAAATTCTAAGAATTGTATATTTTTAATTTCCAAAATTTGGAATCTTTGAACTGATTATCATTTTATCTATCATTTTATCATTATATATCATTTAAGAATCTCTTTAATTTTAAGAAGCCAAGGCTATAAAGACTTAGAAAATTATTCAAATTCTAATATATTAAGTCAATCGAAGATTTAATGATATAATCTTCAATAATCTCCGGAATCTTTAAATTATGAACTGAAACGAGGAAATCAGGCATCTAAGAAGTTATCCTTGATACAAGATTATGGAAGAATGTAAGAATGAAGGCTTTTTCACAGACTTTTATAGCATATTAAAAGTGTATTGTAAGTGGTATATTATACTTGATCAGACTCTATATATATATATATATCACAACATAAATAACTATTGACTGTTGTTCTTATATATTTGTTTAAAATAATTCAATAATTAATCACGAACATTATTGCTGAACAGTAAATTTATCTCTTATATGCAGAAATTTCTAGTGTTTCTGTATCTTGGAATATACTTCACGATCAAGTTTCTAAACTTTTTTTCCTCAGTGTCTCTTATCTATTTATTTTTTATTATTCTATTTATAATAATAATGATAATGATAATAATAATAATGATAATGGTAATGCTAATGATAATAATCAGACAGCGATTTATAACGGGTAATCACCGCAAAGCGGAGTTTCGTCACGCGGTAATGTCTTGTAGTTTTTGAAACTACAAGACAGAACTTCAAACAATAATGATACGATGATAATAATAATATTTTAACTACTAATAGATTTTTGTATTTTATAAATTTTACTATTATGTAGTCTGGTATGTGTTATAAAAGTCTGTGATTTTCTTTTTCTGTATAAATACGAGTGTCTCCCATCGAGATTGTTGAATGTTGTATAGGGTGGACGTACAATAATAAGATTGAGGTTAAGTAGACATATCAACGAAGTCGTGTACTATTGATTGTATCCATTTATCACTTTCCGAGCATTTTTCGCGCTCCTCGAATCAAACTGGAATGATCTTTTGCCATCTTGTAGTTTATCCACACTTAGGTTTGTGTATTTATGTACATATGACATAGACATGTACATGTAGATTATTTAATGAAATCGCCACCATAATGATTGCTAGCCATCGCTTTGTATTTCTGTAAACAATTACCAGATAATTATTTATTTTCCAGTGTGCTTCGTCTATGATCTTGATGTAAATGTGCGTTCGACGAAGTGTTCTTTAAAATAAACAATTATTAAATAATTGGAATTATTTTTTGCCCTTTTTTCTGTGGATTCTAATAATTTATATAA